ATAGAATAGAATAGAATAGAATAGAATAGAATAGAATAGAATAGAATGGACAGGAATACAGGACAGGAATGGATCTTGGAAGTCATCTACAGAATGACAGAGTTGGAAGGGACCTCGGAGGTCTTCTAGTCCAACCCCCTGCCCAGGCAGGAAACCCCCTTTCATTCCAGTCCCCTACTCAAGTAGGAGAACCTACACCATTTAAGACAAGTGACCGTGCAATCTCCTCTTAAAAACCTCTAGTGATGGTGTGCGAATGTAAGCAGGAAAACTCTATCGAGTTTGCCTTTCCTTGCTCTTCAGGCATCAGGAGACTTTAAAAGTCCTTCTTCCTCTTTGCTCCTGTTTGCTAATGAATAGTTCTGACTGGCAAATGATAAGAAAATGTGGCCCATGAAATGAATTATTGAATGCTTTCTCCCCTTTCCCTCCACAGGTCCTCCTTTGTCCCACTTTGGATTTTGACAATTCCAGGAGCGACATCGATCTCTTGGCGCCTCTTCCACGAAGCAGGAGCCCAAACTTTAAAAACTGAGATTATTGAGTGGCCCTTCAATAATACCTGGCTGAACAACAACAACAACAAAAGAAACTCCATTTTAGAGACCACATGGGAGAGACTGTACAATGTGAACCACTGAAAGAAACACCCTAAGGTGCTTTGCACCTGTGGCCTGTTGCATTTTGTAATATGGCGCTGTGTTGTTTGAGGGGCTTAAAATTGCGTTTTTGGTTGTGCATTGTCCTGTTGATTCTAGATGAACTGTTTATTCTGGCTGGCCAGTTGGTGATCATTTCGGATTGATTCTATATCGTATCTTTTTTAAAACAAAAAGAAAAAAGAAAGGAAAAAGGAAAGAAAAGGAAAGAAAGAAAGAGGAAGAAAGGAAGAAAAAGAAAAAAAAGAAAGAAAATTAGAATCACGTTGAATTTGCCTTGTGCAAACCTGAGATTCACAAAAGCACACATCACTTGTAAATAGAATCTGGTTTCAAAGATGGTATTTAAAAAAAAAACCCTTGCTTTTGGCCTTATTCACTCAATTTTTTTAACTCCTGTTTTGTAAGAATAATAAATATTTCATATTCAAACAGCTACGGAAGCTATTGCAGTGTGTTCTGAGCTCTGCTTTTGGAAAATAAAAAATTATTTTATAATAATTATTTTTTACAATAATTCCAAGTAACCGTAAAATTATTTTATAGCTTTATAGTATAGAATGCTTGACAATTCTGCCAGGGGGATTCTGGGAGTTGAAACCCATCCATCGCAAAGTTGCTCAATGTTAAGAAACACCGAGCTAAGTTTGATTAGTTGAGTCTTCGTTTGTAAAATGGGATTTGTGGTCGCTTTATATAGCTCCGAGGGAAATTACAAAATCCAGACTTGTATGCTTTATTTTTTTTTTAAACAAATTCTGTTTATCAGCCTCTGTAATGAGCAGAAAGGAAGAGGCAAAAGTTTTTTTTACAAAGTTATCCTTCCCCACAGCGTGCATTTTGGCTTTTTTTAGGGTGGATATTAAAATTACTGGGTTTGTGGGTTGGCCCACTTAATACCAAGAGCTTTTTTATTGACATGTGCAATTGCTTACCTTTCTTGAACCCACAGTTGTGGGGTTCTTCAGCTCATTCTTCGGCCTTGGAAAACGGCTGTTGTTTAAATAAGCATATTTTTCACCTCATTACCAATTGTTTGCTTGGCAAGGTTTTGTTTGATCTTTGAGCTAAATTGCTTCGTGTTTTTTTTCCAGTTTAAACAGGAAGCCTAGACATAAATTATTTTTTAAAAATACATTAACTGTGTTTGTTTTTCTAAATAGAGAAGCAAGGGAGTGGCAGACTTCAAATTCTTTCTGTGCTTTTCAAATATTTCTCTCTAATCTTTATGACATGGTTTATTTGGCTGCCGTTCCATTCTGTGTTCTATTCTATTTCTACTCTTAGCAGGAGCACCGCTGGACTGGTCAAAAAAGTCAAGATAGTGGCCATGATAGAACTATTTATTCTATTTTATTCTAGCCATGCCAAGCCACGCCATTACTCTATTCTACTCTATTCTACTCCACTCCACTCTCTAATATTTGTATCTCAGGGTTGAAATTAGGGGACCTTGGTGCTGTCTGTTTGTTTTCTTGCAGACGTTTCATTACCCAACTTGGTAACATAATCAGTGCTAGAAAAAACAATTAACAGATAACAGATAATCAGAGTTGGAAGGGACCTTGTAGATCATCTAGTCCAAGAGGGAGACCCTATACCATTTCTGACAGATGGGAATCCAATCTCTTCTTGAAGGTCTCAAGTGATGGCGCTCCCACAACTTCCGAGGGCAACTTCTGTTCCATGGGTTGATTGTTCTCACTGTCAGAAAGTTTCTCCTTATTTCCAGGTTAAATCTCTCCTTGTTCAATTTCCATCCATTATTCCTTGTCTGGCCTTTGGGCGCTTTAGAAAATAGCTTGACCCCTTCCTCCCTGTGAATTACTACCAACCTGCCTTCCATGGAGGACCTGTATACTGCACGAGTCAAAAAGAGGGCTGTGAAAATATCTACAGGCCCCTTACATCCCGGACATAAACTGTTTCAACTCCTATCCTCAAAACAACACTATAGAGCACTGCACACCAGAACAACTAGACACAAGGACAGTTTTTCCCCAAAAGCTATCACTTTGCTAAACAACTAATTCCTCAACACTGTCCAACTATTTACAAAGTCTGCACTACTATTACTATTAACTTCTCATCACTCCTTATCACCCATCCCCTCCCACTTTGTGACTGTATGACTGTAACTTTGTCGCTTGTATCCTTACGATTTATATTGACTGTTTCCTAGTATGATTTGATTGCTTATTGTACCGTATGACTATCATTAAGTGTTGTACCTTCTTGACTCTTGACAAATGTATCTTTTCTTTTATGTATACTGAGAGCATTTGCACCAAGACAAATTCCTTGTGTGTCCAATCACACTTGGCCAATAAAAGATTTCTATTCTATTCTATTCTATTCTATTCTATTCTATTCTATTCTATT